AAGTACAAATATATCAAAATCAAAACATCTGTTATACAAAAGAATCACAGAGACCAGATAGTCAACTTGTATCTCCTAATGATGACAGTCTGGTACTAACCATCAGTCATTAAAATATATCGTTAGATAGTTTTGTACAACATGTTTTGTGTTTTGTGTCAGATGAAGTAAGTATGATATACGATAATAGAGTTCCAGTCTTTTGTTCCATCTTAACCTTCAAAAAGGAAACAAAACGCTTAACAAATTAGTCTAGAACTAAACTCGCTTACCATTCATTGTCTTTTATCTTAGTTGAATGTCCATCTTACACTACATCAATGACTATCTTTCTTAGCCATAATCCAAAACTATTCTTCTTCACAATTATCTATAACTATTCCTCTTAACCATTACTACCCTTCTTCACAATTATCTATAACTATTCTTCTTAACCATTACTACCCTTCTTCACAATTATCTATAACTATTCCTCTTAACCATTACTATCCTTCTTCACAATTATCTACAGCTATCTTCTTCATCATTAGAACTATTCTTCTAAACCATTAACAATAACTATTCTTCTTCATCATCTATAACTACTCTTGCAAACTGTTATCTATAACTATTCTTTTAACCATCATCTACAACTATTCTTTTTCACAAAGACTATAGAAATTAGTGTATTACATGACAAGTGGTAACCTATATATCATATACGCCCACATTTTAGCAAATTCCATCGCAGCTTGCATAATAATGTGGACACATAAAAAAACAAAAGAACGGGTATAGTGTATGAAGGTACTATAGAGACAATATAGGTGTGTACGTAAGCCTACATTGACATGTGATTGACAAAGACATATACACCCACATTGCAGGTAATTCCATCGCAGCATTGTTTGATAAATTACAAAGTTGGGTAGACAAAAATATATCAAAAATCACAAAATGTATGTGAAGATCATATAGTTATACTTGTAAAGACAAGTGCCTTCCCATTATGTATACGCCCACAAATTAGCCAATTCCATCCCAGCTTTGGTTATAATATGTATCATACATAGCTCGCCAAGGAAGCTGGTCCACTGGTAGCTTTGATTTTGAATTTGGCAGTACAGCAACAATCACCAGTATAAAATATTAATATTCAGACATACACTTCTTTCAATCTTTTTGGGGTGCTACTGAACTTTATTACTAAGTTTTGTCAAAATCCAACTAGAAGT